CTTCCCATTAGCGCCCTCCCCTGAGGCTCACAAGTTCTCCGGGAAGGACCTGCACCCTGGCACAGCCAAGTGTGCCTCCCCAGAAGGTCTGCTGGGCCACCACAGGCCATTTGTGACGCTGCTGCAGAAGGTGTGCTCCTGAGCAGCCTTTCCTGCTAGTCAGCAGGGCTGGCACGGAAGCTGGCGTAGGTGGGAGCGCTTGCGATCCCGAAAGGTGCGTCTCCAGTGAGGTTTTCCTATGACCCAAGATTTCCAGCGTGTTTAGCCAGGCAGAACAGAGCTTTGTTTGTAGTGTCTGCCTTTCAGAAGGTGCAATTTTCAAGAGCCATCAAAGGAGTTACCGTGCGAAGCGCTCGTCTACAGACTTGTTTGCATCTGTGATCTCAGAAAGCCACAATGCTGAGAGAAGCCACCACACGGGCTGGTCCAGCTCAGGCAATGGAAAGCACCAAGCCTCAGTGCTGGGGACCAGACCTGCAATGGGGGAGGACTTGGTGTCTCCTCCTGGGAGCCGTTTCCTAGTCTGAGAAGTGATAGCTGATCACAGAAGGTGTAGGTGTACATACCAGATAAGGGGATGCCACCCACCTCTCCCCACACTCCACCAGAAAGCCACAGCACGCCAGGGTTGTCTGATTCCTTTGCTGCTGAGCCCATGGAGCTCTCAACAGGACTGAGCAGCCCTTTTAAGACCTCTTGCCAGCAGGTAGCTGCCTGCTGTCACACCAAGAAGGATGTTTCAGCAGCTACATGAGACTCCTCCTCCTCTGAGGGTGAGGCATTTCCTTCAGCCAGAAGGAAGAGGATGCCCATCTGGGAGATCCCCAGCCCCAGTGTGGAGGGATTAAACACCAGAGACTAAGGTACAGAGCAGCAGGGAGGAGAGGTAGCAAAGAGCAAAGAGCTCTGCAGATGCTGGTGTCCCAGCCCAACGTGACTTATTTGGGTAGATTCACTTATAAGTTACAGGAAGTTTCCACCCCAGCTGGTGAACCAATGTACAGGGATCTCAGCCCAAAACAGCAGCTCAGGTCACCTCTGCACAGAAGCAAAAGGAAGAGCTACACATGGCCCACCTCGCATTCCAGCTGGATGCTTCTGCCAGCACTCCTAGAGCCTTGCTCAGCTGCTCCTGCCTCTTACCAAGATCAAACACCAACAGCAAACCCCCTCCTGGCTTCAGGACCAATCCTTACACTGGGCCCCAACGTTTCACAGGGTCAAAGCAATGAGGAAGCAGAAAGACGGTCTGGAACAAAGAGACACATTCCTCCTGCCCCACCACAACCAGCTGCAGCACACCAGGAAGCAAAGGAGATCTGGTGTGAAGGAGAACGTGCAGTTCCTCTCCAACATGGGAGTCGTAGAGGCAACAGCAAGGGGGAACCATGGCCAGCATAACCGAGCCCTCGGAAACCAAACACTCGCCTTGCCCAAGAGGCGTCTTCAGGAACAGGCGTGGAAGTGAACGGGATGGGCTGAGGATGGAAGTCAGCCACGCTCTGTTAACATCTTTGCTGGAAGAAGCATGTTTGGGAGTACCCTCCGAAACATGCAACTGTTTTGCTCCAACAGGAGTTGAACAGGCTGCAAGTCTGCACTTGTCCAGGATACTGTTTTCCTCGGGAAGCTTCCAAAAAGCCCTCGCAGACAACTGGGAATGGTGCTCACAAAAGCAAGACATAGACAAGCATAGGCACCACCATCCAGGCTGGCGTCTCTGTTCAAGAGAGACTTTGCATTTCGCATTCTTTGGTCTTTCTTCCCCATAATAATTTGTTACAAAGGCAGAGCCAAGACAACCTCAGGGAAAACAGCAGCCTGCATTTCCACAGCACTGAGCACAACAACTAACTTGTAATGCAAATGACTTCTCCGGGCTGGGGGAGCAAAGTTCCTGGTTTGGAAGGTCTGAACCAGCTGCTCATCATCCCCCCAGCCCATCCCTGTCCCTCTGCCCCGAGGGACCGCAGCAGTCCCCATGGGGGCCCGGGGCTCACCTGGAGCAACCCCGATACCTCCTTCACCATGAGCTCAGTGGTGGCTGCTGCTGCTGCCTGCCCCACCGCGGGCACCCTCTCCCCAACACGCACAGGACCACAGGCACAGCCTGGACGCCTCCAAACCGGTGCTTCCACAACTCAAAACGCCCAAGTTCATTCCAGATGGAATAGAACGGACGCTCGCCTCGGACTGTGGTTGCAAACGGGCGGGCATCCTTCCTGCTGGGGCATGGCACAGGGCACCCTCCCCGCTGGGGTATCACCCCCTAGCTCCCCCCATGGCCCTGCCATACAGATCACACACTCCAGCGCAGGGGCCCGCTGTTGAGGGACCGCTGGCACCGCGATGCCGCAGCCCAGGGAGGCCGCAGGGCGCCGGGGGAGGCTGGACACGGAGCGCGGCTCCTCCGGCCGCCTCCCGGTGCCACTAACCGGGGCACCGCCGGGTGCTGTGAAACGAGCGTGCACCGCCAGGGTTTGCTGGGGTTTTAGGGGGTGTGGGGCTGCTTGCTTATGGGATGGGAGCAGAAAGTACGAGGAAGCGGAGGAGGAAATAATTCAGCAGGTTGCTGCTGCCGCCGCTCCCCTGCCCGCAGCGCCCGCTCCCCAGCGCCGGAGAACCGGCTCCTCCGCGCCCCCCCCGCCCCGCCACCAGCCCCACGGGTGAGGGCAGGCCCCGGGGACACCCCATGAGGGGAGCGGCGGGCAGGCCGCGGGCTCACCTCGGTACTGCAGCGAGCCCGAGAGCCGCACGGTGACGGTGCCCGCCAGCGGCTCGCCGGGGCCGTACACGACGCGGCTGTCGCCCAGGCGGATCTCGAAGAGCTGCACCTTCCCCATGGCCCCGCCGGCCCCCGCCGACCGGCCCTGCGCGCTCCGCCGGCAGCGGTACCTGCGCCCTCCGCCGCGCCGACCCGCGATGGCCCTGCCCCGCCGGGCCGCCCCCTTCCCGCCCCGCCCCGCCCCTTCCCGCCCCAGCCCCACAGCGCGGCCGAGCCGGGGCGGGCCCGCAGGGACGGGGCGGTTTGTGAGGGGCGGGCTGTGAGGGAAGGGGGCGGTAGTGTGTGTGGGGTGTGAGGGAAGGCGCCGGTTGTGGGGCCGGCTGTGGGTCTGGGGTGTGAGGGAAGGCGCCGGTTGTGGGTCTGGGGTGTGAGGGAAGGCGCCGGTTGTGGGTCTGGGGTGTGAGGGGAGGCGCTGGCTGTCCCAGCATGGGGCCATATTTTCTCCTGGTGATCCCTGCTCCCTCTAATCCGATCTGCCCCCTGTAATTCCCTGGCCCAGCTGTCACCTCTCTCCCTCCTATTTTTATAACCCCAATCGCTTTAAGTGCCCGGTGAGAAGCAAATACAGGCGACCCGCCGCGTCCTGGGGCTGAGGGGTGAGCGACGGCCCCACGCTCCCCATGGATCAGTGGGGTGAAGGTGTCTGAGCCAGGCGGGGGTGAGCAGCGGGCTCCCCCGCCCCGCTCTACATCATGGAATAAACCACACCTGCAAAACCCGCAGGAAGGCAGCGCCGGGGAAGGCCCCGCTGCGAGCACAGGCAGCAGGAGCACGTGTGGAAGGAAGGGCTGTTTATCTGCAGAGCACACCCAGCCCGGACCCGGCCCCACACACACACACACACATCCGTCCTGCCGTGGCCCTGCAGCGACACCAGCGCGGGCATGCGGGAGACATGACCCCTCCATGCTGCCTTAGGGTGGGTGCTGCGATGCCAAACCCTTCACAGAGCACCAGAGGAGTTGGGGTGCCTAGCGCACAGGGCTCCTGCCGGGCACTGCCTCCCCTGGTGCTGCAAGCTACCTCGTTTCCAGCCTGTGTGTAGTCACAGGCAATACAAACCTCGTTCCATGGGCTCCAGCAGCTCATCTCCTTGTACCCCACGCACGTCTCGCCTTGCGCTGCCCTTCGCTTTTGTTTTGCCAGGCTACATGCACTGATTTTCTCCAGTCTCTGGTGTTGTAACGCCAGCCTGAAGCAGCTTCCATCAGTCCCTGTTTAGCTCTGACCCAACAAACTGGAGAGGGGCTCTTCATCAGGGACTGTAGCGATAGGACAAGGGGTGATGGGTTCAAACTGGAACAGGGGAAGCTGAGGTTGGATGTAAGGCAGAAGCTCTTCCCTGTGAGGGTGCTGAGGCGCTGGCACAGGGTGCCCAGAGAAGCTGTGGCTGCCCCATCCCTGGCAGTGTTCAAGGCCAGGTTGGACACAGGGGCTTGGAGCAAGCTGCTCTAGTGGAAGGTGTCCCTGCCCGTGGCAGGGGTTGGAGCTGGGTGAGCTTTTGGGTCCCTTCCAACCCAAACCAGGCTGGGATTCTATGATATTACTAAGCACCCTTTCCCCATGGAAAGTGGCCAAAGACTCAGGGCTTCATGCACTGCTGGAGCTACCCCAGAGGGACACCGCATGTGCAACAGCTCAGGGTGAATAAAACCCTTCGCCAGGCTCCTCTCTCCTGATACAAAGGGGTTTGTGCACCTTGTTTGCAAAAAAAAGTTGACTTTAAGCATGGTAAAAGTTGCTCACCCAAGGTCACAACGTGAGTGAAAAGGATTCCTGTGCCAGGAGCTGAACAAAGGCGCTGGGCTCCAGCCACGCATGCTGTGGCATGGCTGCAGCACGGCGGGGCAGGCACTGTGTGCTTCACACAGGCACGGGAGCCCTTCTTGTGACATGACCGGTGATGCCACAGCGTTAGTCCATCACCCAGACCACGGCTATGGTGTGCATGGCAGCTTGTAAGGCATAACTAGGTGGGTATAGAATAATAGAATCCCAGCCTGGTTTGTGTTGGAAGGGATCTTAAAGCTCATTCAGCTCCAACCCCTGCCATGGGTGTTTGGGAAACTGCAAAAGATCCACTTTCATGTCATTTTGGATCATTGTTTTGCTTTAAATTGCTTTGAAGGGTTTGATGTGGTGGGAAATCTCACTTCTGCCTGCTCTCCCATCCTTTTTCCCTTAGTAAAAGGGAAATTTCTAAAGAGAAAACTGTCAACCCTGGGTTTAGAGTAAAATTTTCCTATCACATATCATCACGTTCCCCTCACTTCAAGGAATATGACATTTCTTGACAAAGAACATGGTAGTTATTAAAAAACCACAACATGTATCAGTACCCCACGCACTGTCACCTGAGTGTGCCCTGCCTGCAGCAGACATGAGCTTCAACCATGGGCCCTGGGAGAGCGGCCGTGGGTGCCCGCACACAGGGATCGGCTGTAGCTGCATGCTGTGCACTCCCCTCACATGTATGGTTATAGCAAACCTCCAAAGTTGAGTCACGGGCGCTGTCTTGTGACTTAAATTTGTTCCTCTTTTGGCCTCAGATGTTGTCCTGCAGCTGCGCCTGGTGACAAGCTGGTGGCACAGCCCCACCTGACCGTGCCTCAGTTTCCCCATGCAGGACACCATGATCCTGCCTGGCAGCGCCTGTGCTGAGCCAGGAGCCGGGTGTCCTGAGGGAGAGGCACTGCGGAAATGCCCGAGCATAGCCCAGCTGTGACTGGCAGAGGCTGAGCGATGGGAATGCTTCCAGGTGAGGCTCAGCACGGTACCCCTGGGGCAGGGAGGAGCTGGCACCATCGTTCCACCCACTCGGTGCTCTCGGACACCCCTGTGGCTGCTGGGGAGAGGAGCCAGCCTCGCACCCAGCACCCTGGGGACACCCTGGTCTCCTCTGTCACAGGGGATGAGGAGCCCTTCTCTCAAAAATCAAGTTTTCTTGCTTCTGCTGTTCCAACCTCTCCCCCATCCTCCTGATGGGAGGACACGATGGGGGCTTTACTGCTGGCTGGGTGAGCTCCCTGCACCCCATGAGGCTGTGGCAGAGGAAGAGAGGAAGCAGCACAGCCACAGCAAGTGGCCATCAGGTTTGTCTGGACATGAGGGACACATTTTACAATGAGGGTGGTAAAACACTGGCACACGTTGCCCAGAAAGGTGGTGGATGCTCCATCCCTGGAGACATTCAAGGCCAGGCTGGATGTAGTTCTGGGCAACCTGATCTAGTTGAAGATGTCCCTGTTCATTGCAGGGGGTTGGAATACATGAGCTTTGAAGGTGCCTTCCAACCCAAATCATTCTCTGATTCTGAAGCTTCCCTTGGACTCACACACTTTCATCAATGAGCCCATGGAAGGTTCACTGCTAATATATACATCTAACTATTCTATATACCTATATATGTATAGAAAATCCATATTGATATATTTATGTTACATTTGTTCTTTCCAGATCACTTCCCTGCCTCGCTCGGTGCCTCCCTGCTCCTCAGCTGATTCCGTGGCCATTCAACCACGTCATCTGATACGACAGCAGCAACCATTACTCATTTGTTCCAGGCTGACACCTCTCACCAGCTCACCTGGGTCTGGTGGCTTTCAGCCGCGCCTTCCTGCACAGCCATCCTTCACCCCGCAGGAGGCCACAAACCAAGGTCCCCAGCAACCTCCTATGGGTTCACGGGCTTGGCTGTGGGCAGCCGAGGCAGCTTCCCGAGGGCACGTGCTGGGATTGGAGCCAAGTGTCCCATCAGCGGTGGATGAAGCTCTGGGATCTCAAATTCCAGAGCATTGCAGCAGCTCCTTGAACTAGCATCTGCCTGATACCCCCGTGGTTGCACCAGCTCTCCCACAGTCCCACTCCTTGGGATGATGAGAGATCAGGATCAGCCACACAGCAGAGCCAGGCTCTGTGAGGAGCCAGGGGCAGCTTTGGGCTTCATCCCAGGGATGCTTCATGACCCTGTATCCTGAGACAGTGTCCCAGGCCTCGTTTGTAGGCTCATGGAATGATTTGTGTTGGAAGAGTCCCAACCCCTGCCACGGGCAGGGACACCTTCCACTAGAGCAGCTTGCTCCAAGCCCCTGTGTCCAACCTGCCCTTGAACACTGCCAGGGATGGGGCAGCCACAGCTTCTCTGGGCACCCTGTGCCAGCGCCTCAGCACCCTCACAGGGAAGAGCTTCTGCCTAAGAGCTCATCTCAGTCTCCCCTCTGGCAGGTTAAAGCCATTCCCCTTGGCCTGTCCCTACAGGCCCTTGGCCAAAGCCCCTCTCCAGAGAATAAAAAACTCGAAGGGGCTGTAACAGCGTAATAAATACCATCCCCTTACCCTCATACCATGTGCCTGACTGTAGAATAACCTCACTGAGCCATCTCCACCAGACTTCCCTTCCGCAAGGGACAAACCCTATGTGGCCCTGGGCAGTTTGCTTCTGCTGACAACCTCTTTGCTGCTAACACCCACACTTGCCTTTTAGTCCAGCTTTGGCAGGCTTCAGCCACTGGTTCTTGTCCTGGCTTTCTCCGACATTAAAGAGTCCTTGAGTGCCAAGTAATTTCCCCTTGAAGTGGTACTTACACACCAGAATCAAGGCACCTCTCCATTTCTGTGATAAGCTGAGCTTGTCAGGCCCCTCTCTGCATGGTGCTTTATCCAGCCTTTGTGTTCCTGCGCTGGTTTGTGCCTCTGCAAACCCACGTTCTGGCATTTGTGCGTGGATGGGAATCTGTGTGCGGGAGCAGCCTCCCCCCCACACACACACGTGCACACACAGGAGCTGAGGCATTAATTTATCCCCAAATGTACATGGGGTACGCGCAAGCCCTTTAGATCACATCATGAGGGACCAGGTGAGCACCCACAGGTAACACACAGGCTGCTCCTGACCTGTTCTCCCACATACGTTAACCCTCACCCCTGGGGAAGGGCTGATTCAGGGCCATTCCTCCCAAGCCGTCTCCTCCCTTTCAGTCTTCCCCCCAAGCCATGAAGGAAGATGAAGGCAGGGAGAGCCCCTACCTGAGCCAGTGTAGCCTGTGACCCAGCTGGCACCCGTCCCCTTCTCGTGGGTGCTACTGCTTTAATCTCCTAATGCCAGCCAGCACTTGGCGAGCCTCACCGAGTCCTTCGAGAGAGGCAAGGCATCCATTACTGTTATCATTCACATCCTACTGCCTGGATTTCTGATCTCCTCCCCTGCTGGAGGAGCCTCTTGCTCAGTGCAGGACTGGGGAGGAGGATCTGGTGGCAGGATTCACGTCTTCCCTTCCCCACAGCATCCATGCACAGGCAGAGTGGCGAGGATGGTTTGCTGCGCTCACCTACAGGCTCTGGGAGCAGGAGGATTCGCTCACTCAGCCCCAGTGATCCCAGCAGGGCCTCACCTGAGAAAAGGGCCAAATTGAACCCAAAACCTGACTCTCGTGCCCCCAGCACCAGGCAGAATTTTGCAGCTCTCCCTCACTGCAAAGCTACACAGAGTTGGGGTCAGGTTCACACAACACCAGGGCAGGCAGCAGTTGCTGTTCAACACATGTGAGCAGGATGAGGTTCCCCCAGGCTCATGGGGACCCTTTTCAGAGCTGTGCTGCAGGCAGTACCCAGTGCCTGCTTCCCAGGAGATGCCCTGGGCAAGCAGAGGGTCCAACAGCAGCAGCATCACTCACCCTGCCTGATCCCCACCTGAGGTGCAAGACATTTGGATCCTGTATTTGCCCTGGCTCTACTTCTTTTTCCCCTACACAGGTTCCTCTAACACCACAGCCTGGCTGCCCAGGACAGCAGCCCCATGCAATGCAGCCATCAGCTCTTTGACACTGGTGATGTTTGATACCCTTCCTCACAGTGGGGATCGCTGCCCCACCACAGGCTCACCACTGGGGATGCAATGTCCCATCAGCCACTCCCATGCAAGGGCCCCAATCACACCTGCAGCGCTTCCACCTAAATCCACTGGATTTCCCCCAGAAACGGGAGGGGAGCACTTCCATGTTTGGATGTGGAGATAGCTCCCAGCAAAGAGGCAGTGACAAATATCCATGGACAGAAGGCAGCAGTGGTGATATCCAAGACCATACCACAGCTGCTACCTAGAGGAGTGGATTGCCATGCTGCTCAGAAGGCGGCTCGGGTTAATTTGCCCAACCAGCCCAGGTGTCCCTCTTCCAGCTGATAAAAAGCTGTGGAGCGGACCCTGTCCTAGATGCCATGGCCTGAAATCAAATTCCCCAACCCTCCAGGAAGCTCATGAGGAGGGTCTGGGGAGAGATCATGCACCAAGGGTCATGCACCCAGCTTGAGAGCCCTGGGGTGCAGCCCAGCACCTGGTGAGAGAGCTCCCTTCTGAGCAAACCCCACCTCCATAGCGTGAGCCCCTTCCCTACCACCAGGGCCTGGGTAAGGGGCAGGACATCACACCAGCAGTGCTGATCCCAAGGACACCTCATGGGCTGGGCCAGAAACCACCCAGACCCAGGCGAGCAGGGGAAGGAGTTAATGCCTCGGCACAAGCTGCGGCAGCAGCAGCAGCACTGCCCGAGGGCACCATCAGCACTGAAGGGTTTTCTCTGTGAAGCAGTGCTTTCCAAAAGCATTTGCTGGCTGGCTGCATCCGGGTGGATGCCGTGTGGAAAGTAGTGGGGAAACAGGCATCCCATATCACTGTACCTGGCTGTTCTTTACCCCTGCTCATCCAAGCTCCCTTGCCCATGGCTAAGATATCCCGGGATTGGCCCTCATCAGCTCTCCCTTCCCCTAGTCATTATTGATCTGGGGTTCTATGACCCAGAGGTCACTGGTCCAAGGCCAGCCGGATGTGTCACACAGCAGCTGAGTCACATCCGACAGCCCTGCCTTGGCCAGAGCAGGAGTCATTAAAGAGCCCTTCACCGCCACACCATGAGCAATGCCTGCCCCAGCCACACATGGATACGATGCTGCTGACACAAGGAGCTGATGGAGGCTCTGCCCGCACTACAACCTGGACAGCTGCCAAATGAGCTGGTGGCAAGTAGAGTCTACAACCCATTTACACCAGGCAACGACGCTGCTTGTGCAGGCAGTTACACCTGGGTGTGCAAATGCCCTGGGGAAGCAGCCAGCACCTCCCACCATGGGATAAGAGAAGGCAGAGAGCTGTCTGCCTCCACACCTCTCGCAACAGTGGGAGCTGAGCATGATGAGCTTCTGCGTGTCCGTGTCTGCTACCCCTACACTGCCTCTGCAGGGCAACCTGCCGAGCTACTGCCACCCAGTGTACCCGCTGGGACAGCAGGAGCTGAAGGCACTGTGCCACCCCAGGGACCTGTCCTGGCACAGGGCCTCGAAGGGGCTGGGGCAAGCAGCACAACAGAGGCTGCAGTAAGAGCCTCCAGCACCAGGGGTGGTACAAGGGTGCAGTCCGGCAGGGAAGAAGCACAGAAGGGCAGAGCACATCCCTTGGAGTTTAGACTGCAAGCCAACAGCAGGTCAGTGTGTTACAGCAGCGCAGCTGGTCAGGAAGCACTGCAAGGCAGCTCAGGGCAGACCAGCAGTGAGCTGGGGACAGACCTGTTAGCATTTCCCTTCCACAAAAGCCTGAGGAGGTGGGAGAAGGACATGCTGGGCACTGAGGAGCTGGTGCAACAAACCATGGGGCCCTTGTCTGAGGGCCAGGAGGGACGAGACGTGGTATGCCTGATTTAACCCAGCTAGGATGGCTGTTAAGTGTGCTTCGGGTCCCTGTGAGCGCATGGGGGAGGTGGAAACATCCCAGGCACAGTGTGGGTCCGTGTCCTGGATTAAGCTCCATGAAGACAGTTATCCAAGCTAAACCAATCCAGATTGATCTTATTTCATCTTCCTCCTCGGGGTGTTTCTCTTACAGATCAGCTGCTGCCAGACCTGCCAAAGCCTCCTGTACTTCCCTGCACTGTAACATCACATGTGTCTTCCCTCACCCTCCCTGTATTCTGTGAGTTTGAGCTGGTTTAGGATGAAACCAGTTCTTTCACTTGCAGCTCTGGTTCCCGACAGCACCACCTTCACACACTCCTCCCATGGGCAAATATTCCAAGCCCAGCCTTATCTACAGCTATTTTCGGAGTCCTCCTAAAACTTGCCTTGCATTGACATTTCAGCCCCTGAAAACACCTACTGTGATGTGAATCGAGGCCAACAAATGCGCTGCGTGTGTTACCACAGCTATCAGGCTAGAGCAGCACCACAAGAAATCGCTTCATTTGGGTTTGAATCATGTCTCCACCAGCCACGTCTGACTGCAGCACAGCTACAGCTCAGCCTGCCCCTGCTTCTCTTAGCAAGCTCTGCCATTACAGCTTCACCATTTACCTTCCTTGCAACAACCCAAGGACCTGCAGGAACTTAAATAGGCTTGAAAAAGAGAAAGGCATTATAGGAGAGGGGCTTTGGCCAAGGGCCTGCAGGGACAGGTCAAGGGAAATGGCTTTAACCTGCCAGAGGGGAGACTGAGATGAGCTCTTAGGCAGAAGCTCTTCCCTGGGAGGGTGCTGAGGCGCTGGCACAGGATGCCCAGAGAAGCTGTGGCTGCCCCATCCCTGGCAGTGTTCAAGGCCAGGTTGGACACGGGCTTGGAGCAAGCTGCTCTAGTGGAAGGTGTCCCTGCCCGTGGCAAGGGTTGGAGGTAGGTGAGGTCCCTTCCAGCACAAACCAGGCTGAGATGATTCTATGGTTATGTCAGTACCATCTCACCATCCTCCACAGGCACATCCCTGCCCATGGCATCCCACCACCACCATCGTTTCTCAGCAGCTGCAGGAAATAAGGATTGAAGAAGAAATTGAATTCTCCAGGCCCAGTTTGCTACCCCCTGCCCCCATGCACAGCGAAGGGACTTCCTTGGTGTGAACACTTCATAATAGCCAAGTCTCTGTTTCCCAGCTCCTCACACGGGTGCCTGTGCACAAGGTAACTCCGTGGGGGAGCTGACTCTGCCTATTTCAGCGTATGTTTCAAAAGGCAGCACAACAGAGACAGATACCAGTGAGGAACCTGGTCCTGCACCCACAAATACAACATCTGTATCCCCCCATCAGCCTGAGGAACCAGCTCCACAGCTCAACCCCTCCTCACAGCATCACCTCCCTCCTCTGCACCAGGCACCCAGCCATGGGTACCACCAGCCTCCAAGGAGCTCACACAGCAGAAACATTGGCTAAGACTGGAAGGGACACCACAGGGGAGATTGTCCTACCCCATCCCTGCACATATCCCACACAGCCCCCCTCTCTCCCAACTGTATTTTCTCCTGTAGCCCTTTCTACAACCACTACCACCCACCAGGGTACAGCAAGGGCCAGGAGCACCCAAAGGTCCA